GGTTACAACTTAAAAAGGACCTGAAGGATGTTTTGTTGTTACTATATGAATTATTATTTAAAATCTAGCAAAGGTGGATCTTTGAAGGTTTTGTCTTTCTGTCAGCTCTCCATCAAAGGCTGAGCGCTGTCTGTTCCAAGAGTCAGAAACTACCAGCTGTTTCCTTTTACATCCCACTGGACTTAAGAACACGTTTGGATGTCCTCACCTTTGGAAACAGTGTGTGTCATACCTCGTCTGGTTCAGTATCTGGAGTTCTGTCAGTGTGAAAGGACAAAGACGAGCCATCAGAATCCACAGACGCCTCTTCATCATAGCCATAAAACGTCTCAATGACCTGCAGGCAACACAGAGACACAACAAAGTGCCGTAACACCATCAAGACATCACACCCAGTTCAGGATGCTTCACAGATCATCAGAGATCTGATTTCTGGTCCAGAAGAGCTGACCACAGTTGGTCCAACCAGCTGATTGGGCTGTAACCTGATTGGTCAAAGCCAATTACTGATGGAGCTGTGACAGGAGAAGACTCTGAATTAGTAAACACTGTTTAGTTTGTGACCTTTTAATATTTCAATCATTATTCAGGAAACACTGAATGTCTGTCACCATGGTGACCTAATTTAAGCAGCTTGTAAAAACACAAGCGACTGGACTCGTTTAAGTTTCTTGAAGATGTTTCAAGTTTCATCCAAGACGCTTCTTCAGCTGTAAAACCAAATAGTGGAGTGTCCCTTATTCGATCATTGCCCTCATCACAGGAGCCAAAGGTGTAGCTGCTATTAGCAGAGGTGAGTCATGTGACCTATTGAGATCAACTCACCCATGTGAGAACTGGATTATAGATGGCAGCCAGTTGGTGTCGTAAGCCCCGCCCTCTGTTCACAGATAGCCGTTCACAGTGGACATAGATGCTTCTTTCACTCCTCTTTCAAACCATCTGTCCTCTCTGTCCAACATGTGAACATTTGCATCCTTACAGCAGTGACCTTTGACCTTTAGTACAGCTGAGTCTCGTCCCGTGGAGGTGGCTCTTCTATGTTGTGCGTTTATAAAGCAGCTGTTTGGTGTCTCCTCCCTACACTGTACAGCTACGCTACATTGTTGAGGTTGTGTTTGGGATGAACCAGTTTGTGTCTGAGTGTGTGGCTGGGTACACTGGGATGTCGTGCTTGGAGAAGATAAACCTGCCACATGAGGGATGACAGTTGTTCTGTTTGTCCTTCTGATCCTCTCTAGTTGGTGTCTGACCGTCTCTCCTGTGCATCTTAGTTGATTTGATGAAAGCCCAGCTGGGATAACCACATGTTTATGAGCTTTCTTCACATGTGTGTTCCTTTGTTTCCCCTTCTGGCTTAGAGGGGATGTTTTTCCCAGGGTTGCAGGATACCGATTTCCCCAAGTTGGTGTTCCAGAGGGTGGTGGAAGTCAAGTGGGGAGTAGGTACTGGTTTCCAGTAAATGTAAACGTTGAGGTTTCCATCCTCCTCAATGTGCCATAAACAGCCCCTACACGTCGTTTCTACTGACGACAACATTAAGCAGACATTTAAAACCAAAATTGGAGGTCCAAAAATGACTTCATCGCTCCAACTTCACTTTGCATAGTGGGATGCACATTCAGTCTGAGCTGCTGGAGCTTTACAGCAGGGCTTCATTTGCTTTCAGGAACAAGCTGTACACAAAACATCGATCACACTGAAAGCATTCTGCACATGAAAGACTGAGGGTCACCTGCTTCTGACCAGGTTTCCATGGAGATTCAATAGGTAAACAACTCGCTAAATTAACCTGGCTTCGTCATACACTTCTCTGCACATCTCTTACACACAAACAAAGAAATATGGGGGTACAGGCCTGGCCTCACCCTGCAGGCTCTGAAGGTCCGTTTCCTCCTCACCGATTCCTGACGGCGGTACCTCAGTAACATGTCTCTCTCCTGCAGACAGACAGCAGCATGTTTCACTATTAACAGAAAGATCTGACTCTCAGGGTTATCACTGATTCTACGCATGTTAGATACAAAGCTCACAACCCATCACACAGGACACACAACAACTGTATTAACACTTCAATACTTACAATCACATTCTTCACATAACCAGCTGTCTCCAGAGCCTGTAAACACAAAGGTTCATTAAAGTGAAGTACTGAACTGTAGTACAAGTATAAATGTGTGAGTGTGTGCAGTACTAGTAGGAGCAGTAACAGTATTACATAGTTACAGTTGCTCACTTAATGGGTTTTTTCACATTGTGGTTTCTCACTGAAGGCATCAAAACTATGAATGAACACATATGTGTGTCCATCCATCCATCCCCCTCCCACTTATTCAATTCAGGGTCGGGGGTGGGGGGTGGGTGGAGTCTATCACAGCTGTCTTAGGGCAAGAGACAGGATAAACCCTGGACAGGTCCACAGTCTGTCACGTGGCTAACACATAGAGACAGAGAACCATTAACACTCACATTCATACCTGTAGGCAGTGTAGTTTCTATTGTGGCCGATGACACACATTAAAAAATATGCAATAACAAACAGAAAGAGAACTAACAAAACCTAAACTGGGAGAAACTAAAACTGATTGATGATGAGGGAAGTGGAAACACAGCTGACACAAACGAACATGACGCCACAGGGGAGACGAAGCTAAGCACACTGAACAGAAGACTGTCAAACTGAAAGACGGAGAATAGTGAGACGGGTTAGAGTGAGAGTGGCAACAGCCTGAGAGAAGGATCGAGACTGTGTTTAGTCTGTGTTCGATATAACGATATATATCGGATGACGATATAAAAACGTCTGTCGTTTCATTTTACGCTGTCGTTTGTTTCGTGGTGTCACAAAATAAACTGTTTATGGCAATATTTTTTCATCGTTTTGATGGTGATGTAGCGGCTTCATTTGTTAAAGTTCTCTCTTTCTCTTATATAAATGGTAAATGGCCTGTATTTGTATAGCGCTTCACTAGTCCCTAAGGACCCCAAAGCGCTTTACATGTGATGGCTAACCAACCGGGTATAGTGGTGGTGGACAAGCAGAGGAAGACAGCCGTAGTGATAGGTGTAGAGCTAAGCAATAATGAAATAATGAAGGAAAATGAAAAGCTGGGGAAGTACTAAGAGCTGAGAGAAGAGCTAAAGAGGTGGAGGGTGACAGCAACAGTGGTAATCAGAGCGCTCGGTGCAGCTGGCGAGCGGCTCCAGAAGATCCCGGGAACAACAGCCGAGATCTCTGTCCAGAAGAGCGCAGTCCAGGGAGCAGCTAACATACTGCGCAGGACCCTCAAGCTATCATCATCATCTTATACATACATATGTAGTAGCACCAGTACTTTGGAGAAATCAGTTTGTGGTGTGTAGTAGCAGCAGTGTCAGTACTGTGGTTCCAAGATTACATAAAAGTAGAATGGGAGGCAGAGCCTTCAGTTTTCAGGCCCCTCTTCTGTGGAACCAGCTTCCAGTTTGGATTCAGGAGACAGACACTATCTCTACTTTCAAGATTAGGCTTCAAACTTTCCTTTTTGCTAAAGCATATAGTTAGGGCTGGACCAGGTGACCCTGAATCCTCCCTTAGTTATGCTGCAATAGGCTGCTGGGAGACTCCCATGATGCATTGAGTGTTTCTTCTTCACTCACTATGTTTTTATTCAACTCTCTGCATTTAATTACTATTAATTAATTAATCTTTGGCTTCTTCCTGTTGACAGCAGATGGCCCCGCCCCTCCCTGAGCCTGGTTCTGCTGGAGGTTTCTTCCTGTTAAAAGTGAGTTTTTTCTTCCCACTCTCGCCAAAGTGCTGCTCATAGGGGGTCATATGATTGTTGAGATTTACTCTGGTTTATTTGTATTATTGTGGGGTATTTCTTTTACAACATAAAGCGCCTTGAGGCGACTCCTGATGTGATTTGGCGCGATACAAACTGAACTGAATCAGGTGTATGGGTACCTTGGACAGGTCATCAATGATGTGTTGCTGCTCCAGGACTTGTAGCCGCAGAAACTCCATCTCTCTCTCGTCCTGACTGTAACCATGGTAACTGGTGGAGTGGCTGCGGTCCAGATCATTTAATGAACTCGGCCTCCTCTGTGGACCACAAAAGCATGGCTGTTACCATAGCAATGGTACGCTAAAGTATTTGATTGCTGTTTGATGGTTTTTCATGCTCACTGTCACCACGTGCTTGGCCATGATGTCTTTTCTTTCATATAGAAATATAACGAAACTGAATAGATGTGGAAGAAATGCTCAGCAGCTGATGCAGCACTGCTTCACTGTTTGAATAAAGTTTACTATAACTATACTGTAACTATAATCGGACCTAAAACAGATCCTTGAGGTGCCCCAGAAGGCAGAACTGATGTTTCAGACAACACATGATTCATACAGACAGTAAAAGATCTCTCAGATAGATACGACATAAATTTGACATTTTCAGTGTGATACTGAGAGGATGATGGAGAGATAATAGACCTGATGGCAGCGACTTTATTTACAAAATAGTTCAAAAATTCATTACAATCAGATTTAGTATAGACTGGTACGTGAGGAATATCAGGAGAGACAACATTCATAATCGTATCAAACAACACTTTGTTATTTTTTGAAATTCAGTGATGGCATTTTTGTATCATGTCATTAAGTGAGGAAATTGATTCCTTGAGATGTATCCCATGAACCTCGAGCTTGGAAGCCTTCCATAAACGTTCTAACTTGCGACAATATTTCCTAAAATTCAGAATATTTTCATTTATCCAGGGACAGAAATTTGACGAATGGACGACACTTTGTTTCCTGTATATGAGATAGATTTACATTAACTGTTGAAACGTACGTATATATCTGTGTATATGTTTGTGTATATAGGTATGTGTGTATGCGTATGTACTCCTTTGTATGTATAACTTGCACATATCTTTTTGTGCCTGTGTTACGCTATTGTGTTACACACACTCCCTTAAACTTATGTCTATCTTATCTTCCTCTCCTATCCAAAAACTGAATGTAAATCTACATCCTGCCAACGAAGAGATGCCAAACTGTGTTTCATTGTTCTTGTAACAGTGACAATACAGATCTATTCTATTCTACAAGACACCAAGAGTCCTGCCAGGCTCAAACGTGGCAGAGAGCAGCAGCATCCTGCTTTATAATCTGGATCATTCAATCTTTTGGATCATTGGTGAAAGCTCCAAATAAAATGACAAATTAAACTTCAGAGTCTTGTAATCGGTTTGTCAATGAAGTACCTAAACCCTGAAGTGTGAGTGAATCCTGACACCTGCTGGTAAAAAGCAGTAACTGCGTGTGGACATCACATCACCAGTTTGACTGATACAGAATAGGGTGTGTTAGAGTCAGAGGTTACCATAGTTACCATCTCCAGATTCTCCTGGGTGACGAAGCGAAGCTTGTTATCGAGTCGACGCAGCGCTAGAGCCAGCTCTTCGTTTTTGCGGCTCAGACGCTTGTTCTTGTCCAGAAGAGGAAGAAACTGACTCTCGGCCTCTCTCAGGCGCTTCAACTACAGAACACACGAGAAATAAAAACATACAGGCAGGAAGAGGATTTTATCAAGTAATTCATTAGCCCCAGGTAAGATAACATCAGGGTGACAGTGCCCTACAGTGTTTGTGGTTCTTATGATTGGAGTCCATTAAGCTTACTGTCTCATTTCAAGCTCCATATTTTGTTTCCTGGACTGGAGAGGCATCGCATGAGTTGTGGTTCATTAGCTGCATAAGGTGGAATGTAACAATTAATTTACTCAACATTACCCTC